CTGGGGTTAACTAAATTGAAGTGGTGCAAACAGATACCAGAATGAAAGAGAGGAAAAAACAGAACTTAAAATCTTTTCTGAGGAAGCAGATTTGAAGTTTGAACAGACTAACAACCGATTAGCTTACATTGTTTGTAATAGGAAGTGAAATTAAGCATTGTTAAGGATTTCATGCACTGTTAGGCATCCTGAACCAAATTCCATTCTTGTTTACACTTTGAAGAGATTATTTGTGCAATCCCCAGTGATTTCAACATAGAAATTGCCAATATGTTTCTGAAATAAAGATACTGAACTTGCAGCTAGAAGATTCATGATTGCTCTTGCAAGTCGGTCTTGTTATTAAAACTTACATTCTCTTAAGCTTCTTGTACTGGGTAAAAGCTCCAGGGGTAATGATTTTGATGAGGTTTTGTTCCAAACGTCTGAAAACGAAGTAATATACATGTTAACTACATAATTATAGGACAGAAATAACACTAAACATGATAGCAAATTTTTATATAAATATAAAACAATTTTATAGAGTTTTTATGTGAAACAAATTTTTCTTTTGAAAGCCACTAAACGGAGAAAATGAGAAAATAACTTTGAAAATAAAATCATCTCACTGATTACACTAAATCTGTATAGAAAAAAGTCACAAGTATAGAAATTGCATTTTTAAAGCTCATGGAATTAATAAAAATAGTAGGTATATTTTGTTACTACTTAATCAAAGTTAAGGTAGAAAATACAGATGCTTTCCTTGACTAGCTGTTGTAAATAGAACACAGCTATCTAAACTAAAAGCTATGCTATGTTGTGACAGCTTAATAAGCAGATTAATAATACTATCAGAGGGACTCAGGAGCAACAATCTGTGGGAACATGCTGAAAAACAGAGTGGAATTCATTGCAATATGAATCCAGATTTTTAAGGGGGTGGTGGGGGGGGAGGGTCTGTGTTAAAGCAGAGCAAGAAAGGAGTGTATCTTCCTATTTTAACTACAAAATACTGAAGTTGTTCTAAAATATTGTCCAGACTACATGAAAATACTGTTGTTTTCATTTATGAGATTGGGTTTGAAAAAAGTATTCTTTATGAAGATTCATAAATGCATGTATCCCTATCATAAAATGTAAGCAGCTTTAAGATACTGCATACAGTAACCACTAAGATTAATTTCTGTTCCTTCCCAGATGTATTTGCAAGTCTTTGTCAGCAAGTTCCCCAAATTCCTGCTAAAAGGACTTCTCCTCAGATGAATGTTAAATATTCATCTCAATTAGAAATGTAAAAGTGGATTCCCATACAACAAATTCAAATGACCATGGCACCTGAAATTCTACAGAGTTGGAACTGAAAGCAAAACTTAATTTTACCTAGCTCTTACTTATTATTCAAACATTGTGTGTTTTTTCCAAAAATGTCATAAAAAGAAATTGTTTCAATAGCAAAAATCTGTGGTTGGAAGTGGTTTAGAATTGAAATACAAAAACATACTGGAATGATAGAATGAATCACTCTAGTCATTTAGAACTGCTGCAGCAATGCAGAGGGGAGAAAAAATTTTAAACCCAGGAACAGAGATAAAGAGATAAAATGAGATGCAGGGAGAAGTAAATCATGGTTTTTAAAGGACTTGGGAATAATGTAGAGAAAATGTGTAAGGCCCATCAGCCCTCTATTGCACAGCATATCCTTCTGTTGATCTTTGCTTTCAAGAAACAAAAGAAAAATCCCCTTGAAAATAAGGTATTTTGCCAGCTCAGTTATAATCTAAGAAGCTGTTTACGTCATGAATATTGTGATACTTCCACAGTCAGTGTGCATGCACTCTTTTATTTCTGTAGCAGTCTATTATGCTCAAGCACATTGAGGACAGGGAGGTGATTTGAGACAGACATCACAGCTTCACCAAGGGCAACTCCTGCCTGAACCAACCTAGTGGCTTTCTGTGAAGGAGTGACTGCATCAGTGGACAAGGGAAAAGCAATGGATGTCATCTATCTGGACTTCTGTAAAGCCTTCGACACAGTCCCCCACAACATCCTTCTCTAAACTGGGGAGATGTGGATCTGATGGGTGGACTGTTCGGTGGATAAGGAATTGGCTGGATGGTCGCACTGAGGGTATTTTTAATATCTTCATCAATGACACAGACAGAGGGATTGAGTGCACCCTCAGCAAGTTTGCAGACGACACCAAGCTGAGTGGTGCCGTTGACACACCAGGAGGATGAGATGTCATCCAGAGGGACCTGGACAAGCTGGAGAGGTGGGCCTCTGTGAACCTCATGAAGTTCAACAAGGCCAAGTGCAAGGTCCTGCACCTGGGACGGGGCAACCCCCGATATCAGTACAGGTTGGGGGATGAAGGGATTGAGAGCAGCCCTGTGGAGAAGCACTTGGGGGTATTGGTGGATGAAAAGCTGGACATGAGCCGGCAATGTGCACTTGCAGCCCAGAAAGCCAACCGTATCCTGGGCTGCATCAAAAGAAGCGTGGCCAGCAGGTCGAGGGAGGGGATTCTGCCCCTCTGCTCTGGAGAGACCTCCCCTGGAGTACTACGTCCAGCTCTGGAAGCTCTGTGTCCAGCACAAGAAGGACATGGACCTGTTGGAGCGGGTCCAGAGGAGGGTCAAAAAAATGATGAGAGGGCTGGAGCACCTCTCCTATGAGAACAGGCTGACAGAGTTGGGGTTGTTCAGCCTGGAGAAGAGAAGGCTGTGAGGAGACCTTATTGTGGCCTTTCAGTACTTAAAGGGGGCCTACACAGGAAGGATGGGGACAATCTTTTTAGCAAGACCTGTTGTGACAGGACAAGGAGTAATGGTTTTAAACTAAACGAGGATAGATTTAGACTGGATATGAGGAAGAAGTTTTTTATTGTGAGGGTGGTGAAGCACTGGAAGAGGTTGCCCAGAGAGGTAGTGGAGGCCCCATCCCTAGAAACATTCAAGGTCAGTTTGGATGGGGCTCTGAGCAACCTGATCTGGTTAAAGATGTCCCTGCTTATTGCAGGGGGCGTCGCTAGATGACCTCTAAAGGTCCCTTCCAACCCTAAGCGTTCTATGATTCTATTTTAAAGGTTGTGATCAGAGTTAATTCTATTCCTTGTTTTGTGATTTGAATTAGTGTCTGAGATTTCCCTTCCAGTTGGTCTAAATATAACATGCTTCATTTCTGGCAAGTCCACAGTGAAATGCAAATTGCTGTAAGCTTCAGCACGCTACTATTGTTGGGTGTTTGTCACCAGAATTAGCAGTACACATACTCTTCCCATAAAGGCTTTTTGTCAGCTTGCCAGTTTGGTGTTTAACTCCTCCCAAGTCTTTCTGTGCAGACACTTCTAGGAACAAAAGAGGGCCATGCCTATCTAATTCCCTTGCCTTATGGATGGAAACTGGGGTTTCACACATGCTGCACATAGGCTCAGCAGAGTAGTCCTTACATGGAAACTCAAATACAGTGATAGGGGGAAACATGGCCCCTTTTTATAATCACTTAAAATTCCAACGAAATTTTAGTGACTCAAGGGTGGAAATACACACAGAACTTTTGCCCCCAAAGGGCAAAAAAAGCCAAAATTGGAATAGCCACAGATCCTGAGTAATAAGAAAAAATGAAATTTCTAGAAAAGGTGGAGAGGAATACAGAAAAAGAGTTGTTTCAGAGAGCTACCTTCTGAAGCAGTACTGAATTCTTCACCCTTTCCTACAAAATTTACAGCAGATGGCCTGTACAGAAATAGATGGACAAGGCTGTTGTCATCTGCTGTTATATTTTCACCTTAGTACCTTACTTTTTTAATTGTATGAAGCTCTTTGTAAATGAAGGACTAAAGACCACACATAACACATTATGCTTAGTGCTCTACATTTTGCAGATGCTACCAGAGAAGCAACAAGCAGTACTGTGTGCTCTCATCAGGATGTGTTTGCAGGTGGATTTCAACTTGGGCACAAAATGCTGCTTATCTTGGAGCATTAAATAAAGTGCAGCATTAAATAAGCAGGTATTTTAAAAGTATGAAGTACCACTCTGACTTCTGTTTTTTTTCATAAATGCATGTTATAGATTGGCAGGCATAGGCTGAAAAACACAGTGCAGTTACGCAACTAAAGTAGTAGAAAAGAAATTATTTGTATTAATACTTCGCACTTTCACCTCATCTGAGCTCTTAAATAACATGTGAAGGACCGCAAGGGATTAAATATCTCCAGAAAACGCTAGGTTTTGCCAGAAGGGGTGTTGGCAATTTCAAGGTGATGAAGGCTTAATTATAAACCAGTGTTATTCGTGATATAATGGGAAACTCCTGCTAGAGGTGCCATCTTTCAAATAAAGTGAAAAACAAGAGTTCTTACCTACTGTTGTCATTTTTTTCTCAAAAAAGTGAAAAGCTAATCTAAATTTTACAGCCACATTTTATTTCAGAGAAAATTACCTAGTTTACCTAGAACATGACCTCTGGAAAACCGTATTTTTCATGGTCTATCCCTGCATACCATGAAGTGCTGTCATACACTATAAAACGACCAGTGCTAGTGCAAAGCAACATCAGTGAGTTCATTTTTTGGGGTATCACCAGAATATACTATAAAATAATTTCCCAACACATTTGAGAATTCTGTACAAGAGACACAGTCCTAAAAGGCTAAATTTTGATCATTTGAACTACTATCCCCCATGTTTAAGATTGCTTACAACTCAAAAAAAATTTCCTCGATTTTCCTCTGGTATTTCATAATAAGATCTACTTAAAAGAATCCACAAGTAGAATTCACAGAACTGATAAAATAAATTGGCCTTGCTCAAAACCTCTCAGGGGCTTTTGTTCCTCCTTTCAGTTACCCATTTCACTGTGCCATGTCACCGGCTGCCAGCTGTATCACTTAGATGAATTGAAGCATATCTCCCCCCTTCTGACACGCAGCAATGCTCTGTCTGCCTCTCAAAGCTTTATTTTAGAGCCTTTGACAACAACATCAAAGGACAAGAACAATTTCCTTTCTCTTCTCTAATATATTATCAGAGATTGGAAAGTATGAGGGCCCAATGGATTCAGATGCATTTTTCTTGTAATAACGTGTTGTTGGACAGGATAAAGTCCTCCTTCTTCCCACTCTCTTTAAATGACTTTGCAGCAATGAGAGCAGAAAGTAAACATATTGGAGAAAAAAAACCCCAAAACAAACAGGGGGAAACAACATGATTAAATATGAAAAACTCTCCCAGAGTAAAGAATAAGCACGCAATTTCCCATGCTAATCAATCTGAAAGTTCACTGAGGTGCAAATCTTTTCATCACCTCCTCATCTGCTGCCTGTACTGCTCACACCCAGGATGGCAAAACACGAAGGATAAAAAACTCTGCCTAATGCAGCCTTCATAGAGCCAGCTCACACTTTCAGGAGTGACGAAGCCATTTGTCTTGAAG